CAACATTCTATGAACAATATTAGAAAAAGTTTGTTTACAACTTCGAGAAAACATTGTGAGAACGTTCTGAGCACGTTTCCTGTCAAAAAAAATGTTCCAAGCACAGTGCATAAATAACATTAAATTCCACTTTGAACAAATGTTCTATTAAGGTTACTGGAAAAACTTTTGTTCATAATAACTTTGAGAGAACTTTGCCAGAATGTTTTCGGTCAGCTGTGGTGTTTGCAAGAGGTTTTTTTTTTACAGGTCCTGCACCATTGCATCTCTGAGATCTTCTGGTCTCCAGATGAGGTCTTGAGAGATTTTTTCACCTGTTTTATGCTTAGTAAAGCAGCAGAACTCCTCTCCTCAAACAACACACATGATTTTGAGGAGTCATTGTCATCTGGTGCAGCATCTCAAAGTCTCATCTATCAAGAGTACACACAGAACGAGAAGCAGAGATTGATCGGTCATTCTCCGAGCAGATGTCGGCATCCTCAGGCTGGGTTTTCAGCATTTGTCAGCCGTCCCGTACGCCGGGGTTCCCTTGATGTCGTTTTTGGGGAGACCCGGTGTGTCTGAACACCCACGCTCAGGTTACAGTACACGACACACGCTTCCTGAGAACACACTCCTGCAGCTCGACACACTGCTACTGTGCAACGCTGCGGTCTGATGAGGAGAGGAAGTGTGTGTGTGTCAGAGCAGAGAGCTTCATCAGCTCCATTAAAGAGCTACCAGCTACTGACTGCAGCAAAGAGTTTCATGCAAAAGAGCACAAGAAAACTAAACGCACTATGCAAATCTTGCACAGAATTTTGCTCTGACTTGCAGTCTCGATGCATCAAAGACAACTGCACAGAAAGTTTGCAGAAATGAGTTCAGAAATGAATCAGAAAATCAGATTTATTAGCTTCAGATTCTGATTTCATCCAGACATGTTTCAAACATGTTTGCTATTTTGAGCCGATTTGTCACACGTTTGTTGCATTGTGTTCGGAACGACCTGAATGTCTATTAGTGTGTGATCCTTTTTATGTTTAGTCTTCTCATATTACAAGTTTTATGAAATGTTATGTTTAAATATGCAAATGAGGCATTATTTAATTAAATATGCACTCATTTGCATACATTTCCAGAATAGAAATCTGAATATTGAATAAAGCCATATTCAAAATTCTTTGATTTTGTTGACAAATTAAAGGTTTTTGGATTTCTTGTTTTACTTCATAAATAAGAAAATACTGTCAACAGACAGAAAATAAAGAATTTTTAGGAATACAATTTTTTTAATCAGTGAGAATGATATATGAACAAACCCTTCAGTACAAACATAGATATTTATATTTAAATATATGTACGGAAATTGAAATCTACAGATGCAAATAGACGAAGTGCAATGAAATAAACACTTAAAAGTGTATTTTGAATGTTCTCTTTCCACTAGTCTGAAAGAAGACATGTTATTGAAGCAAAACAGACCAAAATCTCAAAATTCACCAGTGCATGAAAAAACACTCTTTGCCTGTAGTGTCTTCTAGATCAAATATTTCTCAAGAACTACACATATACTTAATAAAATGTATAAATCTTTTTTTTTTTTTTTTAATGATTAGGCACTACAGTAATCCTCCCATATTCTGTCATCAGTGATGCTCATAAACCACGACTCAAATCGATCATAAGGAGTGAGTTTTGCCACTGTTACTGGCATCTGCCCAAAAACTGTAGGCGAAAACATTAATGAAGCCATGACGAGTTTGACACGGGCCAGTAAATAACCACAATTAAGACCCCAAAAACCACATCGCAACATGTTAAAAAAAACACTCAGAAGACTTAGCAAACACCCTATGCATTGTGACTGTTATTTCTTTAGAATAAAGATAGTTCATAATGTCATACTGACTGTTATATTAGGATCACGTGTGATCAAGTGGACAGTTTTCTTACAGATTAAAAAACTGGCAACGTTTACCTGCCTTTGATTCAATGCAACGACTGAAAATCAGTTCTAAAATTCTAAAAACACCTGCATCTAATAATGTGCATTGCTTACATGAGTCCTTAATGCAAGTGAAAGAATGCATGAGAGAGAGAGAGACAGATGAGATGCAGTCGTCAGGGGAGCTCTAAACAACATCTCCGTCTCTCTCTGCATATGTGAAGTCACGGCTTGCCAAAATGGTAATATGACATCGTTTGGGTTTTTCAGCACATATGCTGCAGTTTCAGGCTTTGCCAAGACACCTAAACCCACTCGCTGGCGCTCGCGCTGAGGGTCAGACGGCAGCAGAAAACAAACACGCAAACACAAATAAGGCCTCAGGGGAACATCATTTATCATTATTTATTGAGTAATGCATCTAAGCAACTAAATAAATAATGTGGAAGGTCTGAACTTGATTCATATGAAAGCTGTTTCCGACACGGAATTAAAAAAAGGTCATTGCGACTTTTTATCTCATAATTTAGTTTTTGGTCTGAATTCTGACTTTACATTTCACAATTCTGTCTTCTTTTTCCCCACCAAATAACATTTTTTAATAACTTTTTCATCTCACAATTATGAGTTTATATCTTATATCTAAAACTGTGAGATGTAACACTTTAAATTTTTATTATATTTTTTTATTTCAAATTTACATCTAACAATTCAGACTTTTCTTATATCTCACAATTCAGACTTTTCTCTTTTAATTATGAGATTTTTTTTCTCTGAATTCTAAATTTGCATTTTGCAATTCTGTTTCCACCACAAAATCAAAATTAAAAAAAAAAGTAATTGCAACTTTTTTATCTCATAATTCTGACTTTCATCCTTGCAATTCTAAGTTTGCATTTTTTACATTTCATTTGTTTTTGTTGTTTCTTCCACAAAATAAATAAAAAAAACCTCACAATTCTGACTTTTTTTTTCCTCAGAACTGCAAGTTTATATCTTTATAAAAGTCAATATTTGTGAGATATGAACTCCATTGACTTGGTTTTGATTTTAGATTAAAATTTGAAAACAATGTCACACATTGAAAGAATCTTACAGCAGCGACGTCATAATATTTGCATGCTGAACCATGATTGGTCGTGATTTTTCTAAATGTCACAATTTTTTGCATGCATTATTTCCCTCAGAAAAGGCAAGTTTATTTTAAATAATTTCGTTTGGTCTGCATATTGGTCTTGATCAACCGTCCTTATTCAGAGGACAAAACAGCGAGGTTTGAATAACGGGTGCATGTGTCTCTCCTCATTCTGTTTTCATCAGCCCATCCCCCCGTTCTTGCAGATTAGAATTCATTAGCAATCAAAGAGCCTCTGTGGAACTCCTGTTCTTAATTACCCACTCATTTGCATTTTTGCATATTAATGACTGCAGAGTTTGCCGCCTGACTGCGGCAGTGAGCGAGGCTTTAAAGTCACCCCGTCTTTTTATTCTCACATGATGACTGCGGTGCAAATACCCCGAATCAGTGTGAAAACCAGACGCGCCCCATCACGACCCCACACACGGGTCACTAGTAAAAATCACTGACCGGGCCAAAACCTTCACGCTTTCACCCACAGATTTGCCACAGATGCTAGTAATAGTGAGAGTAAACAGCATGTTATTATGAGTTCATGAGTCATGCACTGCTCAGTATTTCTGTCCATTCACTGCAGAGCATCCATTGCTGAGACACTGATGCAGTGCTACATTTCTACAAACCTGATGAAGAAACAAACTCATCCTAATCTTGGACGACCTGATAGTGAGTGAATTTTCAGCCAATTTTAATTTTAAGATTAAATATTCCTTGAATAAAATAGGTTGCCTATTCTCCCACTATAGGCTTCCTTCTTAAGAAAACATTCTTACAACAGTAAGAATTATGTAAAAATATGTTTTCAAAGACTTATAAGAAAATGGACAAATGCATGTGTGAATGAACCAGAGACCTCAATAAAAGATTCATACTAGAAAATTCCACGGACAATTTTTGAAATACAGGAGTCAAAATATTCAATCATTATTGATGCTTGACTCACGTTCAGGGCGTTGGCTCAAAAACATGAAAATATTATGTTGAAAATCTAAGTAAATAAGCATGTTATTATCTGGAGATATGCAGCATCACTAACATCTGTTTAGTTGAATGTTCCTTGTGCAATTTAGACATTTGGCTTCAATTACTGGTTAAATGTGTCAAATATATCTATACTGCCGCCTGCTGGCTGACACAGGTGCCACATCCCTCACATCGCAACATGGCTAAAAATTCACATTGGCAAACTCTTACCATAAACTGGGTTTGAAGATGAACCGGTGTGATCTGGATCAGGAAATCACTACACTTTCTCTGAGGGACATTAATACAAACAATTATTAGACTTCCTCATTCAAGAATCAGTATTAACGCTGAACTTTTCAGATAAATCGGGTGAAAAATCCCACACTTACATTGAAGTCGTATCTAGAGAGCAGAAATCCCGAGGCTGCAGACAGTCTTGAACACCAAATACAAGCAAAGCACTAGAAAAACTATTTAGTAACTGCTAAGCAAACACCCTAGCATCATCATCAATCATTAATGACCAAATGTGAGCCTGGCGCACAAAAGCAGTCATAAGTAGCACAGGAATATTTGTAGCAATAGCCAAAAATACGTTGTATGGGTCAAAATTATCATAACAAACATACATCAATGGAAAGATTATTTATCCAATTTCCAAAAATTGACCATTATGACTGGTTTTGTGGTCCAGGGTCACAACTGACGAATCAGATTACATAAAAAAAAAAAAATGTTTAAAATATATACATATATAAAACATTTATCAATAAACAGAGCCCATTATACATACATGGAACAATGAAGATTTGTTTTTAAGTTACTGACTATGAAATGTCAAGTCTTTATTTTGAAAAAGATTGTGATGCCAAACGTGTTTGTAAAACTAAAATAGCACAGATTTGATATTAAGTCGCAACTGCTTCTCACTTCCATTTGAAACAACAACAACCCAGAATCAGTTCATCCCCTCTACAATCACTTTATTGAGTCTTTAAAGCAACAACTGTCTGTAGTTGATGTCTGTGTGAAACGCAAGAATGAACATACAACAAAATCAAAAGAAAAATAAATGAAAATTAGATTTTGCTTATTTTTAAGACCAGACTTTAAGCTTGTTTTCGCATTGTGACATTTTCAAGACAATTAACCAAAACTTCCTTTTTGTAATTTCAGCCATTTTTCATAATTATTTTTGTTGGTGAATTACATTACAGTAACTGTATTTTTGCGTACTACAGTACGAAATACTACTGCAAGTACTAGTAATGAAATGATAATGTAAAAATTAAAGGCAGTACAACAAATACTACCATACAGGACTTTACTTCATAATTCAATAATATTTCATTGGTTTTTTGGGGGGCAAATGCACTTTTTTGGCAAGACAAAGATCACCTGATGCAAGATCTTAAATTTCTTTCATCAAAATACTCGTTTCTTTGTTTTGAGCGTCAAATGTTCATGTTCTTGACTGGATCCATGAGATTCACCCATGAATATTGAAGTCAAAGTGTAAAATAAGCAGCTTTGCAGGTGTTCCATCAGATAGGCTGTAAACGTTTGTATTCTGTAGGGGAATCGTGTCTTGTGTGTGTGTGTGTGTGTGTGTGTGTGTGTGTGTGAGAGAGAGAGAGAGAGAGAGAGAGAGAGAGAGAGAGAGAGAGAGAGAGAGAGAGAGAGAGAGAGAGAGAGAGAGAGAGAGAGAGAGAGAGAGAGAGAGAGAGAGAGAGAGAGAGAGAGAGAGAGAGAGAGAGAGAGAGAGAGAGAGAGAGAGAGAGAGAGAGAGAGAGAGAGAGAGAGAGAGAGAGAGAGAGAGAGAGAGAGAGAGAGAGAGAGAGAGAGAGAGAGAGAGAGAGAGAGAGAGAGAGAGAGAGAGAGAGAGAGAGAGAGAGAGAGAGAGAGAGAGAGAGAGAGAGAGAGAGAGAGAGAGAGAGAGAGAGAGAGAGAGAGAGAGAGAGAGAGAGAGAGAGAGAGAGAGAGAGAGAGAGAGAGAGAGAGAGAGAGAGAGAGAGAGAGAGAGAGAGTGTGTGTGTGTGTGTGTCATTCAGCTGTTTGGGTGGGTGTGCTGGGCTGATTGAGCCCCACCGTTTTACACAACCATCCAGCGAAGTTCACCTCCTCCACCTCTGAGCGCTTAATAAACGTGTGATTCTGGAAAAGAGAGATCACACACACGTGTCACGACTGAGTCTGACTCCAACAACAGCCCAGTGAGATGCTATTCCAGTTTTAATTCATATTTTGAATTCGGTGTTATTTTTATATGTTCTGTTTAATCGGCAAGACTTGAGATTATCTAAACAGGTTTGATTGGATTGTGAAAAGTGGGACATGATATGGTTGGTTGATATTACATTCTGTAATAATAATAATAATAATAATAATAATAATAATAATAAGACAATGTAATTGGATTGTGAAAAGTGGGACATGATATGGTTGGTTGATATTACATTCTGTAATAATAATAATAATAATAATAATAATAATAATAATAATAATAATAATAATAATAATAATAATAATAATAAGACACTGTATGATCAAGCACATTTATCATAAAAGTAAACGGAGTCAATTTTGATTTTATATTGTTTTGCATGAAAACATAAGAAATGTGCTCTCACCATCAGCATCTTCAGGTCTGCTCGGTCTGCAGGGTTTTTAATCAGACTAGAAGACAAACGCAAAGAAAACAGCTGAAATTATGTCCCAAGATCTCAATTACGTGTGAAGACACACCAAAGATGTGCTGTATTTCACCTGTTGAGTAACAACACTCACCATTTGGTCACAAAGTCCTGGAAATCAGGAGTGAAGACACCATGAGGGAGTTTAGGGGGCGGCTGATAGATAACACACATATAAAATTCTTCATTCACACTTATACATCAATAATAACAGCATCAGATCTCTTTTTTTCAGTGATTTAAAGAGCCCTGCACTGGAAACTAGTGCTCTACACACTCAAAGTCGTTATGCATTTCTATATATGCATTTCTATATACATTTTTCTTAATATTGAGTCTATGATGACTGCCTGATTACTCTGGACGTTCATGCATTCAAAACTATTTTGAAATTTGTCATCAGCTCAGCCTGAATCTTCTATTAGTTTAGACACACAGACGTCAGCTTCAGGACAGTAGTTTTTATTAGATTGTATCCAGGCTTTCAATCTGAAACTTAAGCATGTGATTAAAGGAAAAGACTCTCACCTCATTGACTATATAATCCAGCAGCTCAAATATAGCCATGACGGGCCCGTGACCTGAAAGAGAACAGGACGCTCTATGAGTCACACCAGTTTACTGGTAACAGAGAGCAATGAGTAACTTCATGTTTATGTTCTTCCTAAACAACCGATACTACAGTGATCCGTGACCTTATACTGACACCTGCTGGCATTCAACATAATATTAAACGAGTAATTTTCATTGCTGTGAATTTACACTACCAGTAAAAAGTTTGGAATGAAGTTTTTTTTTAAGTTTTTGAAAGACGTCTTTTCTCTCAGCAGAGCTGCATTTATTTGATCAAAAATACAGTAAAAATACTAATAATGTGAAATATTATTAGAATTTAAAACAGCTGTTTTCTATGTGAATATCTGTTAAAATGTAATTTATTTCTGTGATGTGCAGCTGAATTTTCAGCATCATTCCTCCAGTCTTCAGTGTCACATGATCTTCAGAAATCATGATAATATGCTGATTTGCTGCTCAAGAAACATTTCTGATTATTATCAATGTTGAAAACAGTCGTGCTGCCCAATATTTTTGTGGAAACTGTGATATATTACCATTTAAAAGTTTGTTAAAAATAACATTGAAATTGATTTAAATACTTTTATTAATCAATGAAACATTAAATTGCTCAAAAGTGACAGTAAAGACATTGATAATGTAACAAGATTTCTATTTCAAATAAGTGCTTTTCTTCTGAACTTTCTATTCATCTGTGAATCCTGAAAAAAAAAATGTATCACGGTTTCCACAAAAATATTGGGCAGCACAAGTGTTTTCAACATTGATAATAATCAGAAATGTTTCTTGAGCAGAAAATCAGCATATTAGAATGATTTCTGAAGATCGTGTGACACTGAAGACTGGAGGAATGATGCTGAAAATACAGATTTGATCACAGTAATAAATTACAGTTTAACAGATATTCACATAGAAAACAGCGGTTTTAAATTGTAATAATATTTCACATTATTAGTATTTTTACTGTATTTTTCATCAAATAAATGCAACCTTGGTGAGCAGAAGAGACTTCTTTCAAAAACATTATAAAAAATCTTAAACATTTGATCAGTAGTGTAAAACTCGAAAGAATTTTTCTCATTTTTGCAGTTCCATCATGGTGACGGTAGTAGCACAGAAATTCCCCACAACTTCTTTAGGTTTCATCACAGCTAAATAAGAAAATGTCCACAAAGACTCTTATTGCCATCCATAAAGAAAGGCTTTCTCACCGCTGACGGGTCTGCCGGGGGCTCTGGGTCGAGCAGATGTACTGCGTGTCCCTGTCTCCCGAACATCCATCACTGCCCTGCCGAAGATGCCCTCCAGCTCCTTGGCGTCGGGTGGAGGAATGGGATAGCGGCCGATGGCCAGCTCCACCAGAGAGAGACCCATACTCCACACGTCTGACTGCACCGAGTAATGAGTGCCCTGCAACCTCTCCGGCTGCATGAATGCACACACACACAAATAACATGAATTCATGCAAACATATACTTAAACACAATCGGTGGGATTAAAGTTCCGTCGCTACGACGGATTTCCGTCAGTTAATAAAGACAGTCACTTGCTTCATTCCTGAATGATTCAGCTGTTGGAACGAATCAATTGAATGAATGATTCAGTGATAAAATCAGTGACTTGCCGCCACCTGCTGGCGGATTTAGTTTCATTTTTAGCGTATAATTTCAGTTATTTGAATCATATTTCTGTATTAAAAATTTTATATTTAAAACATTAATCTTCACATGAATTTAATTGCACTCATGCTACCTCTGAGCTAGAGGTCTACACGGAGGACCCGAGATCCGTACGGGTTCGGGGCTATATTTTAAATAGTCAGCCGGGTCCGGGTCGGGTCCCAATCTATTACTTCGGGTCCTGGGTCTGTTTAACATTGTGTGTAATACCCGAGTCGACTGGACTCGGAGAACACCCGGCTGTTATCAGAGTCAGTCAGCGCTGTGCGTGTGTTGTTTTGTAACTTTCAACTTGTAAAATTAGGATGAGAAAAGTGCGAGTCAGTAATTTGAAATAAGGTGGGAAAAAAAACCCCCACAAGCGACGTCATCAGAAGCAGGGTGGGCGGAGTTAATGCACACCCACGGTGATAATGGATACCTTCATGAGTGATGTGAGCACAGAGATGATAGCAAATAAGTAAAGCTAGCGTCAGCAGCCATGGCACTGGATGAGCAATCGTTATTATAATCCAAATGGGCAAACAGTCTAAATTATTATGCAAGTTGACTCGAGATACAAAAACTGCAAAGTCGCAATTGTCATTTGTCACCGTGACACACAGCCAGTCGGGTCTGTGTCTTCCCGGCCGGGTTCGGGTCCATCTTTCAAATAATTGACGGTCCGCGTCGGTTCCGGGTAGTACATTTTTGACATTTCTCGGTTCTGCACGGGCCCGGGTCCAACTTTCAAAGTAATAGACGGGTCCGGGTCGGTTCAGTGTAGCACATTTACGGGTCTCTTCGGGTTCGGGTACGAATTTTTGGACCCGTGTAGACCTCTACTCTGAGCTTCATTAAACGTCTGAAAATGTACCTACAAGCCACGTTTGTGTACTTCTGTGCCACCTCTGTAGTACAAATAAATTTTAAGGAATGAAGCAAGTGACTGTCTTTATGAACTGACGGAAATCTGTCGTAGCGACAGAACTTTAATCCCTGCAATCGTCACATCTAATCCTCTCTAAAACACCAGTGGAAACATACCGACATGTACGAGCGCGTTCCTACAAAAGAGTTGGCCATGGAGTCGATGAGCTGCCCGCTCACGCCAAAGTCACACAGTTTGATCTCCCCGCGGGAATTGACCAGAATATTTGAAGGTTTCACATCTGTGAACAAGAAAAATATATATTATTTTTGACAGATACTGACAGAATTTGACTGAATTATTTTAGCACATTCTAGACTTATTTCAGTTTTTAGTTTAGACGGGGCTTGACAGTGCACGCATTGCCCTCATATTTGTGACCAAAAATAGATGTGTAAAAACTGTACAATGTGTTTAGAAGCGTGTGTGCAAATAAAAGTCCCAGCAGGCCCTTAAAAAGTCTAAAACAAAACAATTTCATTACATTTAATGTCATAAAAGTTCTTAAACCTCTTAATTGGTACAACAAATGTCTTTTAATCGTTTAAAGAGGTCTTACATTTCGGGATGAAAAACAGAAATTATATTATTTCCTAATGTGACTTCATAGGCACAATAACTATAAATACACTGCAAAAAAGTTGCTGCCTAACATTTTTTTTTTTTAAGTACAATCAACTGTATAAGTAATTTAAACTTAAATTACATTAAACTGACTTAAAAACATAGGTTGAATCTTGTATAACTTATTTAAATTAGTTGAAAATTTTGACAAGTTAATGTTGTCATGACTTATTGATCATACAATTTTTACAGTGTACAGTATATATACATGTTTTAGACAGTTCTAAAATGTTTCCTTAAATTTGGCCTATAAATAATTGCATAATTATTAAGTTTGAAGCGGAGGTAACACCCAATGTACTTTTTTTGTGCTCTAATAAATTTAATTATTCTGCTTGTAAATGTCACCTTGTATATGTTTATTAAGGAAAAACACATTGTTTGATGAATTTTCATTGTTTTGTTTTTTTTATGTGTTCCTACGCATTTCAACTTACGAGCACATGTGCTCCTTGGGAAAAAAGTAAGGGTTAATTAATTTCTTTACCTCTGTGAATAATCTGGTGATTTTCTCGAAGGTAAGCGAGACCTCTTAAAACCTGTTTGAAGAAAAAAAGAAAGAAAAATACATTCTGAAATCTAATAAAAGGTATAAATGTTGTTCCAAAACCATATGAGTTGGGTTTTTGTGTGTGGAAACAACAGGGAAATTTCACAGAATGTCAAACTCATCTTTTTCCATATACAGGGTTTCTGCAGACATGAACAAGTTAAATTTAAGACTTTTTAAGACCTTTTTAATACCACCTTATATGAAAAAATGTGCACTCTGTAGGTGTTTTGAATGTTGTTTTTTGCGTCGTGAGAATATTGAGCAAAATAGCTCACTTGTCATGGTGTTATTTAAGACCAAAAATAATTAAGACCCATCGAATCCGAATTTAAGACATTTTAAGACTTTTTAAGGCCTTATATTAGGAAAACGTTATTTAAGACATTTTAAGACTTTTTAAGGACCCGCGGACACCCTGATATATCAACAGCATGAATGAAATTTGAGAACTTCAATGGAGATATTTCATTGTTTGGAAAAAGAGCAGCATGAACACTGCGCTAGACATCTCATTTTGCCTTTCACTGAATAAAGCAAGTCATGCAGATTTGGGAGGAACTATTGCTATAAAAAGAAAAGATTAAAAGTAAAAAATGTGACAACTGCAGATCATAATGTGCTTTAAGTACTATATTAGTGATGCACGAATACTTTTTCCAGAAAGAGTACGATACGCTGATACATTCACTTTTGGTACTTTCCAATAATGGTTACAGATACCAGTATCGGATACCTGAATCATATCATCTGGCTTAATTCATTGTATCAAATATATGTTTCCTTAAATTATTTTCACTCTTAATTATGCCTGTTAAAACATATTGCACAAGCTTCTATTACTTTCACTGCACATTCTACGGCTCTATTGTATTTGATCTTTCATTTAATGGCAGATCGCACATTTAGAGCTGCACCAGAGCAGCAGTACAGAAATCACATGACATTTTATTTAATAATGTAGAGAACCACTCTACATAAATCATGCAGCAGCTAATGTTTTTACTTACATATACAATTTAGTATTGTATAGGTGCACCATTAGTACACACACAAAAAAACGTGTGAAACATCTAAAACATTCTGAAGTTGGGCTTTTGTAATTGAACTCAGAGTTTTACATATTATTCGAGTAAACACTCACGGCTATGCTGACTTTTCCCAAGATCTCCTCTGGAATTCTGCGAGCCTCTTTCTGAACCTGATCCAAAGAGCCTCCGTCCTGACAACAAGGAGAAACACACAAAACCAATAACCACAATTAAGAGTTTTTAAAGGGCCCTCGTTGTGAAGTTTTGCATTCATGTTGTTTAGGCCATCTATATATGTTAGTGCAGGGTTTCCCAAACAGAACACATCAGAATAAGACACATACTAAAAAAATGAAATATTTTATTTATGTACCTGAATATCATGTCATTGTTAAACAACATCAGAGAGCCACAAGCATGTGTCAGTGTTGTTAAATTATGAAATTATTTACTTAAAATCTCAGAGGGACTTCTGGGCCCGTATTCACAAAACATTTGATCTTACTACTAAGAGTTCTTCTAAATAGCAGTAAAAGTTTTTAGCTAAGAGCTTTCTCTAAGGAACAAACTTTTACTAAGGAATAGAGAGAAGTCTTTAGCTAAGAGTAGGCAACCTCGTTGCTATGGATGATGTTAGCATGCTTACTAACTATGCACACAGTGATTGGCTCTGTCAGAGATTTATTCATAGAAATATTGTAGAGCAAAAATTTAGGAGTCCTAAATTTAGGACTGACACACCCATTATTTTTAAGATTTTCTCCTAAATCGGCAGGTTATGAGCTACTTTTAGCCTTACGATGTTTTGTGAATACGGGCCCAGGTATATATCTTAGCTCAATGGGGTTGGTCTGAAAAAAATTGGGAAAAAAGCCCCTAAACGTACCATGTTCTCCATACAGATGCTAATCTCCCCGTCGCTGTAAAACGCCCCGTAGAAACCCACGATGTACGGAGAGTTACACTCATGCAGGACCTGCAGCTCCCTGATGATCTGGTGCCTGAAGGCTGGCTTGATCTCCAGATGAATTAACTACAGAAACACAGAAAACACACACATGCAGCACACATAGGCGCCTAGTGGGGTATTTTCATTATGTCTATGGACAGCATCATTGTAGAAATCAACAGGGGACATTTATGATAGAATGACTGGAGATGGGATGATGCATTTTTTTGTAGTTTGGGTTTTTAAAATTGGTTTTGGGTTACATGATGGAAATTAAGTCTGTGGTTCACACAAGTTCAAGATATTTTGACGTTTTATTCTAGGACATAAAATCCACCAGTAATTTCTCATAATGATTTTTAAAGCTTTTACTTGTCTTGAAATAGGCGTTTGTTAACAACCGTCTAAATGGGACTATAGAGATTGTCAGGACATTAAACGTCACGCCGAACAGGTAAACTCATCCACTCACTAGATTGTGTTTATAATCACACTTTTGCAAACTATTCTGACTCAAACTTTCATGGAAAATGTTTTTAAGTAAAGACTGAAAGAGTTGTTGTGAAGTCATGCGACTGTTTATAGCCTACGTGTAGCTTTTTACTTCTGATGATTGTATTTAGGCTTCAAAAAGTTGTGTTCATTTGTGAAGATTATCATGACGAACAAAAACACGTAAGAATCGTAAACTTTTGGTCACAGAGCTGATTTTCTGCACTAATCCAGTGGGAAAATCCTATTGGATTTCTGGTGATGCGAACTTACAAAAATATCTCATCACTGCAGCGCTCTATACACTTATTGTGAAAGTCTAGCAGAACAGATAGAGGGTTTAAAAGCGGAAATGTGAAACTTATACTAAGAAATGCAATTATTTGAGTTGTTTTCTGAGATGTAGACATTTGTCTGGTTCATTCCGTGTGAAATCAACTAAATTTTAAGAAGCTTCCCCGGCTCAAATTTTTGATTTTGCATATATTTTTTCTGAAGAAAGATAGACATGTATAGTGATGAAAGCCAAAATATTAAATGTCATGGATGAATATTTACGGAGTAATCCAGTATTTTGTAGAGGGGGTCAAAATGGCAATTTTCACCTGAGATTCAGAGTCAAATTACAGGGGGTTAATTAATACTTCAGAAAGATGGCAGCATCATTATTTTAGTTTTACACAGAGATTGGTAGGTCTGTTAGTAAAATCTGTTGACTTTAGCAATCTTTGTTGCATTATGTGCCAATGGTGACCATTCAAAAATGGGGAAAGAGCACTTTTCAAATTTTTTCTCGAAAGTTTGCATGCCTGTAACTCAAGAAGTATTAAAGATATCTTAATGCCCTTTTAGATATTGGGTCTTAACAAACTTTCCTTTTGGCATCTTTATTTTTAAGGCCCTATATGGTTCGGTTCCAGAGATAATGGAATTTCAATATGGCTCCAGGAGTAAATCGTTAAACAGCTATGTTCTATGCAATTGTTTTAATAGAGGGAAACAAGATACAATTCTAATTTAAACATTATCTCTTCTTCAGACATTGTTGTTTGAATAAAATAAGAATCAGCTGCATACAAAGTGACCAAATCTGGTTTTCGACCACTGAAAATGGGTAATATTCAACAATCTGGACATTGAGCCTCATTGAGATCCCCATATCTTTGGGATTGAACGATGTAGGGCCTTGAAATGTAAGATTCCAAAAGAAAAGTTTATTAACAACTAGAATCTAAAATCATATTGCGATATCTTTAATACTTCCTGAGTTATAGGCATGCAAACTTTGGAAAAAGAATATTTATGGCACTAAGACAGGTATGTTCAATGCAGTTGTCCTGACAGAAGGAAACAAGATACATATCTAGTTTCAATATTACTTGTTCTTCAGATATTCCTCTTTAAAAGAAAAGAAGCATCATATTTTTGCAAACTGACCCACATTTGGTTTTTGGCCACTGAAAATGTGTACATTTGAACGATTTATTCCTGGAGCCATATTGAAATTCCAATATCTCTGGAACCGAACCATATAGGGCCTTAAAAATAAAGACGCCAAAAGGAAAGTTTGTTAAGACCCAATATCTAAAATGGCATTAAGATATCTTTAATACTTCTTGAGTTACAGGCATGCAAACTTTGGAGAAAAAACTTGAAAAGTGCTCTTTCCCCATTTTTGAATGGTCACCATTGGCACATAATGCAACAAAGATTGCTAAAGTCAACAGATTTTACTAACAGACCTACCAATCTCTGTGTAAAAATAAAATAACGATGCTGCCATCTTTCTGAAGTCATTTTTAACCCCCTGTAATTTGACTCTGAATCTCAGGTGAAAACTGCCATTTTGACCCCCATCTACAAAATAGTGGATTACTCAGTAAATATTCATCCATGAAATTTAATATTTTGGCTTTCATCACTATAAACGTCTATCTTTCTTCAGAAAAAATATTAGCAAAATCAAAAGTTTGAGCCGGGGACCTCTGGTTGAGTTGACATGGATGACTCTTCTGTCAAACTGAATGTTTCTGATGAAAATGGCAAATGAAAAATGTTGGCGACTCACCTTCCGGGCCATTACGAGGCCAGAGGGTTTGTGGCACACTTTATTAACCACACCTCCATTTCCAGCTCCCAGTTCACAGATATGCTGGAAATCATCATCTTTCAGCTCGCCCAGATTGGCTTTCTGCGTGAGAAAAGCTGCCAGACGCTTCTTCTGCTGCTCATCCAAATCCAGCTCTTCCAGCTTCTTCTGCAGGGTCTCAAGATTCGCTCTGAGATTACATAAAGAAAAAGATGTCAAGTGACATGCACACAATCTTCTCTTTCCAGGTTGGACTACATACTTACTCTGAAGCTGCATCGATGGATGTAGAGGTCGTCTGTGCCTCTCCGGATCCGGTTATAACTATGGGCTCTGGTCTCTTTTTCGGAGCCATGGCTGATGTTTGAAAAGGCTGAGGGGACCTTTAATCTAAGGCGAGCTCAGACTGCGCTTTACTGTATAATAACTCTGATTTACAGCTTGTCATCGAGCTGGCAAGTTCCCAGATCAGTCTATAAAAACTCCTCAACCTGTTTACTGTCCAGATCTGATCATAATTATATTTAAACACTAGGAGTATGAATGTCTGTACTGTGAGCTGACATTCACTTGAATTCACACTAATGTGATGCGGACTCTTATAACGTTACTATATAGAGATAACAATCAAGCCGTAAAATCACCTGTAACCTATAAACAACATGTGCTACTGTCGCTAACACACGACACCACACGTGTGCCTTAGCAAAAAGCACATTCACTTTATAAAACTAGCATAAATGAACTAGAAGTAATAAATAAAGACATTATTTTGATTTCTCGGTCCGCGCGACAGGATGCTGTTAGCTTGCTAGCATCGTTCCGAGTGTCTGCTGAGGTTTAAAGCGTCTGTCAGCGCTCACTGTCTCTCTCATGTAATGGTAAATGAGTTCCCGAGCTCCGTGGCGAGTGAAGCCGGTCCCGGTGAGCGGAATGTCCCGGTAGAGGAGGCTGAGGATGAGGAGGACGCGGTGAACTTCGGCCCAGCTGCTCTCCGCAGGTTACCGGAAACATCAGAGCGCAGATCCCGCGCCAACTCTCGCGAGATGAGAGAGGAACGCTCGCTAAAAGTTTATTTGGCATTTTATTAATATTTTATGTTGCTATTTTAATTTTGAACAATCTACCACGTTATTGTTGTTTCACTAATTGTGATTTAATACACTACCAGTCAAAAGCTTTTGGACAGTAAGATTTGTTTTTAAATAATACTCTTCTGCTCACCAAGTCTGCATTTTTTATTTTAATTCAAAATACAGCAAAAGCAGTAATATTTTGAAATTTAAAATAATAGTAATAGTAATAATTTCTACCAAAAACACTGACTGGTCTGGTTAGTGATGTTGGACTGCTATTATTTTGAACACAACTGTATGTAATTTTATACTGGCGAATATGTTTTTCTATTATATTTCTATTTTATTTATTTTACAGGTGGTATTATGGTTATCAGTACCTTTTAAGGGGGTAAAAATATATTGCTTAAATAGCAATGTTATTTTAGTATCTTTGAAATTCTTAATTTTTTAAATATTTTTAATTAATTTTGATTTTTCCATTTTAATTTTAATTTAAAAGTTGTAGTAATTTTGTTGTGTATTTTCCTAATTTATTGCAACTTTACTTATATTTTATTATTTTTATTTGCAGACTCATTGCAGGCAAGCTGCAAATTCTTTATCAATACAAATGCTCAGTCATACCAACAATATAATGCATAGAATGTGCAGTCAAAGTAATTTTAAAATGGCTTTGAATAAGTTTCAACTAAATTTAGACACACACAACACATCTGACCACATGCAGAACACAGTGAATGAATGACAACAGGTTCACATCAGTCATCAGATTGTCATTAAGCTAAAAAACATTTGGAAATGTGATTCTAAATTACTGTCAGAGGTAATATTAACAATTATTAAAATCTAAAACAGAAACAAACAAAAAAAAAACTTAAAGCTCAGTTAATAGTTTTGGACCTGGGTTTTTTCGACTTTTGGGTTTAGTAGTTTTAACTCTGCCATATTTTCTAAAGTGCACACTTTTGTCTTCTAAATGTGTAGAAACAGTCTCTTCTTTGTGGAAATCTTCATCGTCGGAGGAAAACTCACCAGGTTACAGTTCACATCTATCACGGGAAAATCAGATCAGATCAGATCCTTCCTCTCTGTCATGAATGCAGCTGATCCTACTGTGTTTGACCTGTTGATGTTGAACAGATTCTTAGTTTTTGTCGCTCTTGTCGTGTCTCACGGCTCTCCAGCTGCTGTCAGACAGATATTCAATCTCCTCCACATCCTCACCACATTTCTCCAGAACTTCACACAGCAAACAAACAGCAACTGCAGCAGACGAGATTTCTAGTGCTGTAGCACAAGAGACCGAGAGACCATTTTTTGAAGGTCTCAGTCTTGTCTTGATCTCAGGATTTATTATATAAACTGCAGACATCACTAAACTGCCATGTGCATTGTCTGATTTATTTGTTAACATCATTACTGTGATTGAATGTAGAAATACCTGCTTCAACCGCAAGCACAAACGTATTTCTAATTAGATTTTTTTTGTTACTGTTAACGGTAGATTGTGTCACTAAATTGATAGCTACAAATGCTCACAAAATTCAATATATAACTGCAAAAAAGTACTTGCATGAGATCTTGTTTTTCATATTATAACATGATTGCAATATCACAAGAGCGAGAGAGCTGGTTTCACAAATATGTGCATGATTGCAAACGTGATATTTATTTTATACAAATACACAGTGCTTTAAATTTAAATTTTAAATTGAAACAAAAGTTATTTTCTTTATTTTGCCTATGAAAATAGTTCCAAACAAATCAATAGCAGAACTGTTTCCGAGCAACACAGTGGTGTTTCATTACCGACTCAATCAGCTCCTTTGAACGAATCATTTGAATAAATGATTCACTCAATAAGTGATTCGCCGCCACTGACTGGCAGATAAAGCTTCATATTTATCATTTTATTTTTTCATATTGCTATATTCAAAATTGTATTTTGAAAACATCAATCTCATTACATTTATGCAGATGTAATTGTACCAATTCAGATGCACCTCTGCAGTGCAAAGTTGAATTTTGTTGCTTCATTTGTGATTTCATTTGATTGGTAACAGCTCTATATAGTGAGTGTCTTATTATTATTAGAGCTATATATAGTCACACTGACTTCATCTGCAAAATACTAAAGTATAAAGCAGGTTCTGAGAGATTCAGACTCACTGCCAGTGAGAAAGTGTTCTGTTGTGTCTGTTTCCAGGAAAACATCTTTGCTTGTGTTTCACAGACGAATACAGAGTCATGGGTGTTTCTTCAACAGGGTTGTTATTGTTAACTAAAAAAACATTTTCATTACTTTAAACTAAAATGTTAACTGAAATAAAACTAAAGATTTTAAAAATGATTTTATTTCAGCTAGTTGCATAGGCAACATTTCTTATTTGTTAAGTTTAACCTGAACTAAAACAAATAAATAAAAATTAATAAAAACTTTATAGACATATCTAAAAAAAACAAAACAAATGAAAATTACAAACACAATAAAACTACTAAAACTTTGATTGAAATTAAAGTGAAAACAGAAAATATTAAAATATATTTAATTCAAAACAGTAACAATATCAGTGATATTAAATAACATTATTCTTCAATTGCATGGGTTGATTTGTAATAAAACAAACAGATTTCTGACAACTTCAAACAACTTCTTGTTAAATGAAGCTCATTAAATAAACATTCCTGAAAACTTTTTGCTGTCAAATATACATAATACCATATATAATTTGAGATGTAGTGGAAATAAAATTTTGATAAAAATGACAAAAATACCTGAATTCTTACTTACTGGACAGATTAGAGATAGCAGCAACCTCATTTTCTGGATCAGAGCACAACTTCTCAGAAACTGTCAAAATAAATAAATAATAAATACACACAAATAAATAAATAAAATATATACTTGAAATAATAATAATAATAATAATAATAATAATAAATGTGACCCTGGAGCACAAAACCAGTCTTAAGTGTCAATTTTTCGAAATTGAGATTTATGCGTCATCTGAAAGCTGAATAAATAATCTTTCATTGATGTATGGTTTGTTAGGATAGGACAATATTTGGCTGAGATACAACTATTTGAAAATCTGGAATCTGAGGGTGCAAAAAAATCTAAATATTGAGAAAATCCTATTTAAAGTTGTCCAAATGAAGTTCTTAGCAATGCATATTACTAATCAAAAATTAAGTTTTGATATATTTACGGTAGGAAATTTACAGAATATCTTCATATAACATGATCTTTACTTAATATCCTAATGATTTTTTAGCATAAAAGAAAAATTATAATTTTGACCCATACAATGTATTGTTGGCTATTGCTACAAATATACCCCAGCGACTTAACACTGCTTTTGTGCTCCAGGGTCACAAATAATAATAATAATGTTACATAATATGTTACAGAAAAGATCTGCTCACTAAACACAATAATGAATTTTCTTTTTCTTTTTTAACAATGAAAACACAAAAAAGTTTGGACCAACTCAAATTTCAAGACTGGACCATATGTTCTGGTCTTGGAACATTTCAGTGATGTTCAAGGGTCAACGCTGGTCTGTTAGCGGTTGATTAAAGTTGCAGACAGAACAACTTACCAATGCATTCATGTTAAAAGAAGCATGAAAGTACCAAAACACTCCTTATAATAGCCAAGAAGACTTGTATCAGCTGTATGCGCTCACCTCTCTGTCTGCAGAGCTCCTGCTGCTCCACCGCGGTCCTGCGGAGCTGATCCAACAGATCTGTGTGTTTGTGCATCAGAACGTTTCAGACGTCACAGCTGGAGAGAAAAACATGGAGGGAAGGAGACGACTGCAGGAGACACTGGATGAGATGGCAAAACTCGCTGCTGAAGGTGAAGTCTGTGATGCAGAACGTTTCAGTGATGTCATTGCATTTGATGTACAGAAAGATGTGATGTATTTTGCTCAGCTCTGGGAGGGCAGCCCACCCATGGCACCACCAAACCCTTCATACTGTGAAAACATTCAAGACCTGAAGAAAACTATTCTTTCTCATGTCTCAAAATCAAACGGCATGATGCTGACAGACATAAAAAGTCACATTACAAATCTCTGGGAGGCTTTGCTGAATGAACGGTTTGTGTTCAGCTTCAAGAATGCCCTGGAGATCGCCGCATATAGGAAATTGGAGACCGAATACAGTAAGTGGACCTGGAGCCTTCGGAAGGCCATGCTAGAAATTGAAAACAGACTACAGAACAAAATAGAAAATGGAGCAATTAACGATGAGGTTAAGGAAACACATCTTCAAGGAGAACTAAATGTAAAAAGTACAGAAGTGGAAAAATCTATGTTAGAATACTCTGAGAAAGACACCAATGCCAGTATACTGATTCAGTGGAAAAAAACTTTTGAAATAAAAGTTTCACACATACAGGAAAACATTGTTAGGGAAACACAGAGGAAACTGAATGTGGTGCTTAAGCAGCGAGTCCTGAAGAAAAACATTGACGCTCAGAGGACACAAAATGAAAATGCTCTCCTTGAGAAGGCCAAAAATCTTGCCTTAACT